AACAATGCAGCATTTCCTTGCTCTGTTCTGATGACTGCCTCTTGGTCCGGGTATATATTTCACATGAGTACAATCAAGTGGTCTGGGATTCCCATTCTTCTCAGAGTCAGCCACAGGTTTGTTTTTTGGTTTTTTGTTTGTTTGTTTTGTTTTTTTTTGTGATCCACACAGTAAAATGACTTTATATTCCACCTAAATTTTTTTAAAAACTTCAAGCTTTCCTGTATTCATACTTTTTATATTCCATGTACTAATTATCAAAGCCTTCTTACAGCTGTTTCTCTTCAGTTTGAGAGACCTCCAATGTGGCCCTACCTCTAACACTATGTTAACCTATTGTGCATAGGCTTTTCAGAGTTCTGTATTTTAGAAGTAGATGGCCAATTCTGCTTTTTAGTCTTTCTTAATCTGTGACCTCTGCTTAAAAATATCTACCATGGATGACCTTTCTGACATTTGAAACAGCAGTGATTTAGCTTCCACAATCTACAACAGACAAAAGTTACTCCATTAAAGCAAACTGACAAATAAATGCTGTACTAATAAGACATAAAGATTAATGGGGATAAACTAAAATATAATTAGCAACATAAAAATTAATTCTCCTAATAGTATGAATTAATTTATAGATGTTATATCTCTAACAACAAACCATAAGAACAATTAGACATACAAATATAATGGTGCAGGACAACCTACTCTGGCCCGAGCTGGAGCCCATAGTGATGTGACAGGTTGAGGTTACAGAAGAGGTTATTACCTTTCAGATAGTAGCTCAGCTGGATCTGTGGTAACAGTAATTTTGGGGACAAGGCCCAAGGAATATGGTTGCATCTAAATATAAAGAAGTAAAAAGATCCTCACAATTAGGCTGATAGGCAAAATCATGAGAGATGGAGAAAAGACTGACATTGTCAACTATTTCTTCTTAATTATATCCAAAATGAACAGTCTTGATACCAGCAGTCAAGAGATGAGGAGATATATTACACTGGAGAAATCTGCTGTCAGGAATCTTTCCAAATTACTGAGGAGCAATGATACCAGTTTAAAGTCCAGGGTGCATCTGATTCAAGCCCTGGTCTTTTCAACCACTTGCTATGCATCTGAAAGCTGGACAAGGTATAAGAATGACAAAAGAAGAATCGATACCTCTGAGTTGTAGTGATTGAGAAGAGCACAGAATGTCCCATGGACTTCCAAAAGACAAACAGGTATCTCTTAGATAAAGTTCAGTCAGAATTCTTCTTGGAGGCAAGGATGGAAAATCTTCATTTCACATTTTGGGCATATTACTAGAAAAGGCTATTCCTTGATAACATACTTGGGAAGGTAGATGGTCAGCAAAAGAAAGATCCTTAATGAGATGGATTGACACAGTGACAGAAGCAAGGGGCTTAAGTGTGTTGTATATGATGAGGATGGCACAGGATAAGACATGGTTAAGATCTGTTGCCCATAGGGTTGCTACGAGTTGTACCTATCTCAATACCCCCTAACAACAACAAAAACAACCATAACCATCTTTTGAAGTCTGAAATTGATTGAACATGCAATAAAGACAGATTACTAAAAATTAGTGAGTAGAATGCAAATTCAGGCCATAGTCTTCCCAATCAATTGCTATGCATCTGAGAGCTGGACAATGAATAAGGCTGACAGAAAAAGAGTTCATGCTTTTCAGCTGTGGTTTTGGATAAAACCCCCGTACATCCCATGGACAGCCAAAAGAACAAGTATGTATGTCTTGGAGAAGGTGCAGCTGGAGTGCTCTTTGGAGGCAAAGATGATGAGGCTTTGCTTCACATACTTTGGACACGTCACTAGGGGCTGCTGTTCCTTGAAGAGCGACATGATGCTTGAAAGGGTGGAGAGTCGGTGAAGGAGTAGACCACCCTCAATCAGGTGGATTAATGTGACTGCTGCAATGGACTCTTGTGTATTAGAAAGTGTGAGGATGGCACAAGATAGAACAGGGTTCAGATCTTTTGTTCATAGGGTTGCTATGAATCATACTTGGCTTGAAGGGGCCCAATAACAACAACAATAATAACAACAACAACAAAATGCAAAGTTGAAAACAAAGAACTCATAGGTAGAAAATATGGCCTTGGTCAAAGAAGCTGAGATTGAATGACAGAATTTTATATAATGAATGAATTATTCTTTGCAAATATTTTAAAAGTAAGCATAAGCAGCAACTATATATGTGACCTTTACCTGATATCACTACACTACTATAACTATTCTCTTCATTTATTGTTTATGGGATCTTCACCTGATAGACTCCAAAAGAATCAGATTGACTCCATCTGTTGCAAGAGATACTAGAGAAATTCAGAATCAGCACTCAAACCCAGGCCAGGGACTGACTGTGAAAAAGATCATCAACTATGCACAGCAAAATATAATCTTGAGTGTATTCCATCTGGATTTTAAAACTATCTCAAGAATAGATTTGACACATTAAAGATTAAAGACCTAAGCTGAGACAAGTTATCTAATCACATGAGGGATATATATCATCCTTGAGAGAAGCAAAAGGTCAAACGATTTTGTTTAGCTACATCTACTTGGTTAATCTACATTAAGCTAAAATACCTCTGTTGATATAGTTAATATGGAGCTGTGCTGCTAAACCAAAGTCTGTACCTTTCTGGCAGTACAAATTCACCTGTAGTTCCTCAGGAAAAAGATGGGCAATCTACTCTCATGCAATTTACAAATTTAGAAAACTGCTGAAGGTCAGCTATGGTTATAATTCAGCAATAATAAGTTTGTTTTGTTTCTCTGTTATGAAGCTAAAAGACAAAGATGAAACAAATCTGTTGCTGTAAGTTTTTATTACTCATGATGTGGTAGTGATGTAGTAATATAGTAAATAATACTCTAGATTTAATCAGTGTGATCAAATTCTGTGATATTATGTTGGGAAAATCTCTCATTTATTAACTTGGGTTACATAAATCAAATTATACAATTGTGATTTTTCTCTTGTAATAAAGACTTGTTCACAATTTTAATTTGACATAACAAATATGAGATGCATGAAGAAACAAGTATACAAACAAATTTATGGCTTCTGATTACCTATAGATTTTCTCGCATAACAATGTGTAAATATTGCGTGCTAGATTGTATTAACTGAATACGCCAATTTAAGCATAAATTAAAGAATGTTGAGAAAATTAGAACATAAACATAACTAATCTTCAGGTTTTCCCTTCCCTAATAACTTCATGAGTGCTCTGACTACTTCTTTGTTACGGAAGCTGTAAATGAGAGGGTTCAGCATTGGAGTTAGGATGGTGTAGAAGGCTGACACCATTTTATCCTGAGCTGGAGATCGATCTGAAGTAGGCCGCATGTATATGAACATGGCTGCTCCATAGTACAGTCCCACTACCATGAGGTGGGAGGAACAGGTGGCAAATGCCTTGCGACGACCTTCTCCCGAACCCATGCTAATTACAGCCAGAAGCACACGAGTGTAGGAAGCCATGATGATCACTACAGGAAAGAGAAGCATGATGACACAGCAGATAAATATCATCCTTTCAAATGTTGAGGTGTCATTACATGAGAGAGTGAGAAGGGCGGGAACATCACAGAAGAAGTGGGGAATTTCCCGACCACGGCAATATGAGAAGGACAAGGCAACTGCAACTTCAATTATACCATCAAAAGATCCAAGAATCCATGAAGAGGCAGCCATGAGCCCACAGATTTTCTTGCTCATGAGAATTGGGTATCTTAATGGATGACAAATGGCAACATACCGGTCATAGGCCATAACAGCCAACAAAAAACATTCAGCTCCAAGCAGGGACACGTAGAAAAATATCTGCATTCCACAACCTGCCACAGAGATAGATTTCCTTCCAGATAAATAGTTGAGGGCCATCTTGGGTACTGTGGTGCAGATGAGCATAAGGTCCATGAAAGAGAGTTGGCTGAGAAGAAAATACATGGGGCTGTGGAGTTGCGAGTCCAGGTAGATAAGTAGAATCAATGCAATATTTCCCATGAAGGCCACTGTGAAGATGCCCAGAACCAGAGAGAAGAGGAAGTTGTGAGTGGGACTGTGATCAAAGATCCCCAGGAGAATGAAGTCAGATCTAAACGTTTTATTCATCCAAGTCATCATGAATAAGTTCACTGTGGAGGAAAGAGTATGTGAGAAGTGACCAAGATTTTACCATGGAAATATACAGGGCTTCATGCTGAGATCATAATACCTATAAAGATCTTTAAATATGAGATTTTTTTTTCTTTTTCTCCTAGCAGTGATTTTTCTCATTTATAGATTCAGACATCAAAGTTTATATTTAAGCTTGAAGAGATTGACACAGTAAAAGGGAAAGAGGTCAAATGTATCAGAGTTACTGAGGTTGGTTCAGGATAGAGCAAGGTTCAGAGCTGTTAGTCAAAGGGTCTCTATGAGTCATAGTTGACTCAAGACAGCATACAAGAATAAAAACAGTAGTTAATAGACTTAATAGTTTTATAGAAACTACATACAAGTTTGTCAAGATGCATGTAATTGATTTTGAGTAACAATTCAACAAACACATTACATGTATAATTCCTTAATAATAACTCTGAGACATATACAAAGATTCCTGAATTGCTGAGAAACCAATGACATTGTTTATAATCCCACGTGTGCAGCGTTCAGCTGCTGCACAAGCTGTACAAGGCTTTGATCTTTTGGAGGCAGATTTATATGACATACAACTAACTCTGTTTTCTAAGGTGTCTCTACATCACCAACTTTCAGCTAATAGTTGAGTACCTAATGTTTATATTACCCAGTAACTCAGCATATCACTCTATCATACAGATACAAATCTTACCCAAGTGTTTAATGAAATAGTGATTAATGACAATTCTACTTTTCTATTGTTGATCACTCAGATACTTAGTGGCTGTTGTTAGGTGCTGTCAAGTCTATTATGACTTATATCTATCTTATGAACAACAGATTTGAAACTTGTCCTATCCTGCACCATCTTAACCATCTCTGATAAGCTCAAGTCTATTTTTAAGAGTCATTGTATGAATGTATCTAGTGACTTCTTTCTACGATCCTCTATGAGGACTTTTTCAAGGGCTGCCACTCCTGACAAGGTAAAGTCAAAAGCAAAATAAACAGAGGAAATAGAAAAATCTAAGTTCTTTTTTTTACTTCTAGTTAACAGTACATATTTGTGACAAATTTCAATAAAATATAGTGAATATACCCTTTCTTACCTGTGTTTAAAAAATAGGCATTTCCGCAATGTAGTACAGTGGAAACACACACGAGAAGAGAATAGCTAAACTCCTGTCCAGAGTCTTTTTGCTATTAGGTTGTTATTAAGTATTTTCAAATCAGAATTAACTCAGAGTTAACTCTGCATTGAGTTTTCAGAGGGAGTAATCTACCAGCTGCTTCTCAGGTGAAAAGGTTAATCTCCTCCTGTGCCATTTACTGCCTCTGAAAATCTGAAAAGTTAACTATGAATTGGTTCCAACTCACCAAAACACAACAATTCCCATCACTTATCTTGTCTTGAAGATATTGTAGAAAGTTATTCAAATCACTATTTCAAATTCTTTATTTCCTAAAATAAACCTGTTTATACGCTCAATGGTACAAAATATATATGTGAGGCTATCTCTTTTTTTTTTTTTTTTTAGATGCTTCTTGGAATAGCTTTTCTACTACCTTTTATTTGTATGTCATAGCCCTCTTCGGAATTTCAACACATATACATCTTTCTTTATGACTCTGTGAAGATGTAACGAAACACAAAACAACCTACTGACTGTGAAATCAGTACTAACTCATAGTAACCCTCCATCTGGTTTATGAGGCTGTAAATATTTAGATAGGAGAGTGCCCATCTTTCTCCCACAATACTGCCAACCCAATATTGTACACAGTAAACTATCAATGACCATTTTATATGGCCGTATCTCTGAATGTTGATATCAGAGTAGAACTATGGCTTTTACCTCCGTTCTATAAAAGTGGTAGGGTGAAAGGCAATATCATAGACCTTTTAATAAAGCTAATCTCATTTACACTTCCACTAACTCTTGTACCAAAGGCAAGTTAATTAATCTCTTTGACATTTCTCAGTTTCCTCACAAGGATGTTGTACATAGAATGAGATAATTCTTATAAATCTCTCATCAAATGTATAGGTTCACAATATTCATTCATATCACCAACATTATGAACATATTTGTAATACATTTTGTTATATAATATTGCAATGAGCAACAAAATTACTTGTCTGTAATTATTTCTGAACATATTCTGTTTGTTCAGTAGTTTCTTAGGTCTAGATTTATAAAATCTATGATATATTTTACATTTTCTTTATCAAATAAGTCATATTTCCAAATAAGAACTCTTCATACAGCTCTCTACATGACTGAAAGTATGGACAAACACAATAGATCCATCAGAAGAGCTAATTTCTGAATTGATATGTATCTCCATTGCTTAAAAAGAAGTCCTGTTTCCACAATGGTTAAACTCTAGACTGCTAACTGAAAGGTCAGTAGTTCAAATCCACCAACTAATCCTTAGGATAAAGATGTGATATTCTCTCCTTCCATAAATGGTTACAGTCTTAGAAATACAATGAGGCAGTTATACTTTGTCCTAGTGGGTTGTTATAAATGCAAATAAAATAATCTACAAGAGGTTTGCATTATTTTAAATATTTTCTTGAATTCGCTTGTTGTCTCAAAGGTTCATTTAATATTCGAAAAACATAATGACAAATGTAAGAAACACAATGTTCTAATTTTACAAAATATGTCTGCATCAGCATGAAAAATAAATTCTCAATTTATAGCATTTGTAAATTAAAAAAAAAAACCCTTCCAGGATATGACATTCTTATAAAATATACAAGTTCATCTCCATAAATAATTTGGAATATATATCTTTTCTTTAGTCTTACCTTCTGAGTGTTCCCAAGAAGACATCATCTTTTCACTGACTAGTAATGTTTAAATTTCTAGAGAACACCATGGAACTAAATTTTGTTATGTCATCTGATTTAAATTTGTAGTCCCTCCAGAGAAGTCAGTCCCTTGCCTTTAATTATAGTAGTACATGTTCTCATCCACTTTTTCTCCTAGGGCCCCGTATAGAATTAGTTTTCTATCTCAAAAATAACTTTTACTAATATACAAAGGGAAATAAAACATTCTGTAACTTTATTGAGTAATAAAAAAGTTCTCTTTCCCTTTTTTCTATCTTGTGATTTGTTTATATAATAATGACTTACATTTATTTTTATTTTCTGACATTATTAATCTCATTAACTTAGGTGATAAATGAACAGTTAGAGACCTTATTTTAAAAAAAGAATGAATAAAACATACATTGGATTTTGGCTTGAATTACCCATAAAAAGTATCTGCTAAAGAAAAAGAATTTCTGAACTATTAAATAAATTGTTTTAACCTGATATCCTTCCTCCAGCTTGAGCTTCATATGCTTGAGAATTAGATTCTACTATCACTCTTTTTTGAGAAAAAAACCCCCACATTATTTATGGTTACATTTCTCTAATTAAAAATAGTTAGAAAAGTACATAGATAAGGAACTGACAGAAGTTCAAGCAGGATTTAGAAGAGGCCATGGCATCAGGGATATCATAGCTGATGTCAGATGGATCCTGTCTGAAAGTTCAGTGTAACAGAAGAATGAATATTATGCCTTATTGACTATGAAAAGGCATTTGATTGTGTGAATAATAACAAGATGTGGTTGACATTGAAAATAATGTGAATCCCAGGACACTTGATTGTACTCAGTCGACCCTATACCTGGACCAGGAGGCAGTTGTATGAACAGGGTAGGGGAAAACTGCATGGTTTAAAATTGAGAAGGGAGTGTGTCAGGGTTGTATTCTCTCTCCATACCTATTCAATCTGTATGCTGAGCAAATTATCCAAGAAGCTGCACTCTGTGAAGAGGAGTGTGGCATCAGTGTGGAGGGAGACTCTTCAGTAACTGGTATTGTGCAGATGACCAAACTTTACTTAGTGAAAGTGAGGAGGGCTTGAAGCACTTGTTGCAGAAGATCAAGGAATGGATTACATCTCAATATCAAGAAAACAAAGATTCTTACACTGGACCAATAGGCAGTGTCATGATTAATGGAGAGGAGACTGAGACTATCAACAGCTTCATCTTGCTTGGATCCACAATTAACACCATTGGTACTAGTAGTCAGGAAATAAGAAGACACATTGCACTTTACATCACCAAATAATACATATTTTCCCTTTTCTGAAACTGATTCTACCAAATGCCTACTATTTATACATTGTTATTTTTCGTATGTGCCATTCAGTGACTCCGACTCAAAGCGACCCTCTGAACAACTGCTCTGAACCATGTTCTATCCTGAGCTAATATCATAGTCTCTGACACACTTGATTTCACTGCCACAGTCACCGTGTCAGTTCATGGTCTTCCTCTCCTGTGCTGACCTTCTACATTTCAAGTATGATGTCCTTTACCAACAATTTACACCTCCTGACAACATATCCAAAGCATGTAAGATGGACTTTCAAAGTCCTTGCTTCCAAGGAGCAATCTGATCTTACTTTTTCCAGGACATTTTTGTTTGTTCTCTTGGAAATCTATGATATGTTCAGAACTTTTCTCTAGCACACAACTCAAAGCACTTCTGTCAGTTTTTGTCACTGTCTAGTACTCAGACTTAGAGCAATTAATTGAGAAAACCATGGCTTGGATCAGCCACATCTCTGTCTTCAGACTGACATCATTGCTCTTTAGCACTCTGGATTGGTCCTTGACAGCAGATTTTCCCAACACAATTGGCTTTTGTTTTTCTGACTGTTGGTGCAAAGAGTGTTGATGTGGAACCTAACAAGATAAAATTATTAACAACTTTAATCTTTTCTCCATCGATCATGATGCTACCTATTGATCTGGTGAAAAGGATTTCTGTTTTCTTGATGGTGAGGTACAATTCATACGGAAAGCTACAATCTTTGATCTTCTGCACAAATACAAAAAGTCCTCCTCAGTTTCAGTAAGTTGTGTCATCTGTATAATGCAGGTGGTTGATGAATCTTCCTCCAAACCTGATTCCACATTCCTCCTAT